TATTTTGTAGTAAATAGCATCTTTACGTGAAGCTTATTAGTAGAGACAGTGACAAGCTAACACAGCTAATATGGCTATCAAGTGCCCAGTTATCACTGAGAACTTGTCATGATGGAGCACCAAAGTCAAAGGATGCCATGACAAGCGATGACTGGTACATGTCATGTTTTTCAGTGACTGCTGGGCTGACAGTGTTTTTAGAGGATTGAAATGAGAGTTTCAAGCCTTAAATTATTGAAAAGGCACATCACTTAAAACCCAAATTTTGGTTCGGGCAATTTAACTATCAGCAGAGAAAAAAAAGAAGAAGAAGACTTGGAATTGTGGTGGTTGATCTTGCCTGGATATGAATCATAACAGGTTTTTTCTTGTTTGTTATGCTAGAATGAGAATTCTCCTATGTGGATTCACGGTCCTGCCTCCCGACTATGTCTGCAGTTCCAGGCAGCACATATTACAGCTTCCAGGGACAAATCAGCAAACGAGTGGATTCCGGCAAAGTCAGCAGCAGCAGCAGCAGCCGCAGCCGCCATCACAGCATTTCGGACCACCTCCGGGTACCCGAATTTCTATTCTCAGACAGGCATTTCTCTGGAACACCACCACCACCAGCACCAACAGCAAAATGCAAGGGAAGCATCACTTGCTGGCGTTTCTCAAGTCCCTCAACCTTCCAAGCAATCTCAGCAACTATGGCATAACAGCTACTAATCACAGTTACCTCCTGGTTTTTCAGGGTCTTGACGTGAGTTTGAAAGTAGCCAATCCGAGGCAGTTCTACGAATTAAGGTGAAAAATGTATCATTATTTGGTCTCAACAGACCTTTGACTGGCTGCTGCCCTGTACCACGAGGTCCCCCCATAATTATGGTTGTGATGTTTAACGTAGTTACAACGTGTGCTAATTTGGTTTCCTCAGTACATTCTTTTTTTTTGCCCCCATCCTTTAGTTGTTCCCTCCCTTGTTTGGAAATCTCAGGTTTTGCCCTCTTTTGTTTTTTGTGCACGTGGAAAATAGTATCTTTGTATTCTCTTGAACAAGACTTGTAATTTTGATCCGTCCACCTTAAAATATAACACATCTCCTTGTTTAAATGTGGTGGATTGAATAAACAATCGAATGTATGCTAGAGTTTTTAAAAAAATATAAGCTTTAACCTGTTTTTGTCAACATCTTGGATACTCTAAAAGATGTGTGATGACAGTTTTAACTTGTCCTGTACGCTATTGCAACTGCATTTTTGACTTGTTAATTCCTCGATTCAAAAGAGGGTGTTGAATTTAACATTAAAAATTTTGTTGACAAAAATTGAGTTCAAAATAGTAAATAGTAAACAAAAAATTAATTTGTCTATCAGTTAAATAATTAGTTGTAAGCTTCCTAATCCTAATCAACCCATTGGTTGACCGTTATAAAACCACAAGACCGATTAAAAATAAAAAGAATTGCTGAAAATGACAGAAATCATCTTAAATTCGTAGGACTAATTCAACCCATGAGGCGGGGAAAAAATCGACATAAACGTGTAGTCGGCACAGCTCACAACAATAGTGACAAATTTTTTGACAGAATATAAAAAAGAATAATGACGACAAAGGATCCGTTTCCAGGTGTCATATTTTGGGACAATCGCACAAAAAAAAAACTAAAAAATTACGAATCAGGACCCATTATAAGATTTATATGGTTTTGAGTTTTGACAAGCAAAAGACAATAATTCTTTGATAAAAAATACTTGATTTGTAATTTTGCAATTTTAACATTTTTTTAATGATTTTTCCTGCATTTTTCCCTCGGTTCTCATACCTGGGTTGGCCAGCAGACGCCAATACTCGAAAGGAGTGGGAGAAACATTCCAAAAGCCTTACTTAAATCGGGGGATTTGGATCTTTCTCTCAATACCTTTTTTTTTTTTTTTCACGCAATTTCATCCGTCCATTTAATTATCTATTTTAGTTTGATAGTGTAAGATTAAACTAACATTAAGCTGAATATCTCTTCTGTTGTACTACTTTCAGTCTTTAATCTAATACCTTTTTTAACTTTTATTTTGATCCTAAATATGAGACCCCAATTCATTTTGTCTTTCATATTTATACTTTTTTTTTTCAAGGTAATCCTTCTAATAATTATAGTTTTAGCTAATATACTTGATTAGGAAGGATATTTTAAGAAAAACAACATTTATTTGTTACAAATAATTAAATTAATTTATTTTTTTAATATACTCAAATTAGTCAACTAGCTCTTATACTTAGGACCAGAAGTAGTATAAAAAAACATTAAACTGATTTAATTATCATCATAAATAAGAATTATAATTTTGTTTTTTTAAAAATGTTTAAGCAACAATAATATATGGATGGCCAGAAAACTAATGATGAAAATTAATGAACTCCTTATTCTATTTATGTTCAAATGTTGTATGCCATTCAAATAGCAAAATAATTAGAACCAAAGCTGAACCAGGTCCATCCTGAAAGGCCCAAAAAAAGGGGCATTCACCATTTAAATATAAAACATACTCAAATCTGTATAAATACAAAAAATACATTAATAAAAGTTGGTTCAGTTAGTAAGGAGTCGGCTCATAACTCATAAGATCGTGAGTTAGAATCCCGTTACTGATGTGCGGATCTTGTTGGTGGACAATGTGTAAGTATCCCTATAAGTACTCTTTAAACCTGGAGCCTGAGACCCAACTCAAACTTTTTTTTACCAGGAAAAATACTTTTGGGAGTTACTTTGACTTAGAGCTGATAATGCTCAATTTGACCAGGTTGAAAAACCATAAAAAAAAAAAGAAGAAATATGCATATGCATATCTGTGGGCATTAGGGGGAATGAACCGTGGTGGCCATGGAGCAGCTGCATGCATAGGCCAAATTTCTTGCAAGAGAAATTTTGACCAGTGAAACGCCAAGATTGGAATTGGAGTTGGTATGAATACAGATCATGCCTTTAGAAGAATTACTTCAACTCTAACTCCAATCTATTCCACTATCTACCAGATAGAACCGTGGTGGCCATGGAGTAAGTGGATACATAGTCCAAATTTCCTGTTGCCCTTTGGCTGGCCAAATAAGCAGCCAAACTTGTGACGGTCTGGGAACTTTCTGCTTCATCTTCTTCTCCTCCTTCCATTGAAAAGAAATTTCCCATAACCATTCTCGTATCAGGCGGCTGATCCACCATTACTCTACCTTCAAGCATCTCCACCACTTGTTTCATATTTGGCCTCACCCTTGGCCTCTCTTGGATGCACCACAATGCCACATACACCATCCTCTTCACTTCCCTCTCTTCCACTCCCCCACCTTCCATCAATCTCTCATCCACAATTTCCATCAACTTGTTTTCTCTCACTTTCTCGTTCACAATCCTGGGAAAGTATTCCCACTTCTTCTTCTCCTTGTCCCTCGGATCTTGGATCAAACACACGTTTCTTCTTCCTCCTACGATCTCTAATAGGACCATACCGTAACTGTATATGTCTGTTTTCTCTGAAACTCCATGTTCTAAGAGCCATTCTGGAGCTAAATACCCTCTTGTTCCTCTCACTGTGGTCATCACTTGGCTTTCGTCTTTCCCCATTAGCTTCGAGAGACCTAAGTCTGCGACGATTGCTTTGAAATTCTCGTCTAGCAGAATGTTTTCTGGTTTTATGTCCAGGTGGAGGATTCTTGATCTGCAATCATGGTGAAGGTAAGAAAGAGCTTTGGCTACGTCAATGGCTATTCTGTATCTCAAGCTCCATGATAGAAACCCTCGGCGCGATCTTCGATTTTCGGTTTTAGTGGGAAATATCCAAGAATCTAAAGAGCCATTTGGGATGAACTCGTAAATTAAGTACCTAGGGGCTATGGCGGAGTTACAATACCCGATCAGGCGCACGAGGTTGACGTGCTGGACGCTGGCTATGGCGGCGACTTCCGATTTGAACTCCTTCTTGCCTCGTTCTTCGCCGTTGATTCGCTTCACCGCGACCAACGTGCCATCGTTTAAAATGCCTTTGAAGACCGAAGCAGAGGCGCCTTGGCCGAGTAGACACTGGAATCCGCCGGTGGCATCTTCGAGCTCCTGGAATCGAAATTTGGTCGGAACGCCGGCAACTTTTCGTAAGAAGCTGTATTCTATTCGGAGCTCGCTACCTTCAGATTTTAATCGGGACTCGATCAATCTTCTTCTACGGTTGAATCGCCTTCGGATGAGAACGAAGGCGAAGATTGCGATGATCACGGCAACATCGGCCCCCAAGATGAGGAAGAAGGCTTTTGAACGGTTTAAGAAGACGCGAGCGATGACGACAAAAGTGATCAGAAAAATCACCGATATTACAGCGATTGTGTTCACTACTCTGTCCTCCATTAAAGCTTCATTCTGCCCCCTGCCTCATGATTGAAGAAGAGGGAGGAGGAGGATGCAAAAGAAGAAACCGTCTTTAAGAAGCAGTTGGGCAAGTTGCTGTAGTTATTTCATCTGAGAAAGTTTGACTAAACCCAGTCCCAACCAGCCAAGTTGACTTTTTTTCTGAATATTTTAAGGCTTTGTAGCAACCATGAAACCGGATAAATTTAAAAAGCTTTTTTTTTCCCCAAAAAATTGAACAAAGGTACTCCCTTGCGTACGTTAATACTCCTCCGATCCTTATTATAAGATTCAATTTAACTTTTTATTTGGTCCTAATTATAAGACCCAATCCTTTTCTCTCTTATATTTATGTATTTTTTTTCAAGATAATCCTTCTAATAATGATAGTTTTAGCCAATTACTTAATTAGCAGGATATTTTAGGAATAACAACACTTATTTATTATAAATAACCAATTTAACTTACTTCCTTAATCTCCTCAAATAAGTCAATTGGGTCTTATAATTAGGACCGGAGGAGTATAATATAACAGCTACTTATTCCCATGCATTGAAAAATCACCCCAAAAAAAAGTGAATATTGTAAAATTACAAATAAGTGTTTTTTTTTTTAAAAAAATATGCTGTCATTTGCAATCTAATTATTATTAGACTTGTAAAAATGTTACAACAGGTCTCAATTTGTGATTTTGCAATTTTTACAGTTTTTTTAATCATTTTTTTATTTATTTAATTTTGACATAAGAACTATTTAATTAATTTAGGTAAATTAAAGAATTTAAATAAAGTAGTTAATTGTACAAAAAATGTGATATAATATCTCTAAAATATTATTACATAACATTAATTATATTTTAATTTATAAATTAAGTAAATTAGTTTAAAAATAATAAATATAAATACAAAATAGATTAAAATCTTATATTTATGATCATTTAATATTTAGTTAGCTACTTAGCTCATGTATTAAAGACAAGAAAAGAGGGGCATATGACTTGTAAAATTCAATAATAAATTTATATCTTCAAAACAATTATTTAAAAATTAATATTCTTTGCACAAAAAAAAACTAATCTGCCCGCTCAATCTGAGGATTTTATTTTTTGACTTTTGAGCACCCTCAATCTATATTACAACGAAGAAATAATTAATGCTAATTTTTATTTTTAATATAAGAATTTATTTGACTTTTATTTTGATCTTAAATATAAGACTCAATCCACTTTATATCTCATATTTATTTATTTTTTTAAATATAGCCTTTGTAATAATGATAGTTCTAACCAATACACTTGATTAGTAAGGATATTTTAAGAAAGATAATACTTATTTATTACCAATAACTAATATAACTTATTTTCTTAATCTACTCAAATTAGTTAACAAGCTCTTATATTAAGGACTGGAGGTATTATCTCTTAGATTATACTTTAATAAGTATATTGAAATTTTATATTTAGAATTAAATTAAAAATTAAACTAAAATTAAAAATTAAACAAACTATTATATTAAAGATCAGAAATAATATAAATAAATAAATGAATAGATAATCGAATAATTTTTGTTACTTCATCCCGTGGGTAACTCATATGTTTTCCTTTAATTTTATGGTCTTCATTTTTAATTGCAGCTAAAATAAATATATTTGTTTTGGGTTGAAAAGGGAAAAGTCTTCCTTAACCCCATAATTACCACAGAAAAAAAAAAACATACAGTACTATCTCTGGTTTTTAATAAAAAAACCAGTTAACTAATTTGAGTAGGTTAAGAAAACTAATTAAATTAGTTATTTATAATATATAGGTGTTATTTTCTTAAAAATATAATGATTAATCAAGTGTCTTGCTTATAATTTTTTTATTATAAGAAATATTTTAAAAATAGATAAATATAAAAAATAAAACGAATTAAATTTTATATTTAATATCAAAATAAAAATTAGAAAGTACTCCTCCGGTCCTTATTAAGACCCAATTTGACTTTTTATTTGGTCCTAATTATAAGACCCATCCATTTTGTCTCTTATATTTATGCATTTTTTTCCAAGATATCCTTCTAATAATGATAGTTTTAGCCAATATACTTAATTAGCAAGGATATTTTAGGAATGACAACACTTATTTATTATAAATAACCAACTTAACTTACTTCCTTAATTTCCTCAAATAAGTCAATTGGGTCTTATAATTAGGACCAGAGGAGTATTACGTATCTAAAGTGTCAAGTACTCAGAGACTAGAATCAGGATGCTCATCAAAAGGTCTGGATAGGGCGCGTTTGCACCAACAAACGGTGTTGTCTTTTGTTGTTTTTTTTTTACACAAGTCTTTTGGCTGTTTCAGAGATGGGAACCAGTGAGACACGTAGCAATTTGTCAGGGAAATACGCGTGGCGGAAATACGCGTGGCGATCATAGTTTTCCCGCTGTCGAGCCAATATTTGAAAAGACTTTTTTTCTGAATATTATTTTATCTTAAAAAGTTTTTTTTAAAAAAAAATTACTCTCCCATATATTACTATAAGAGCTATTTGTATATCTAATTTTTAATATAAAAACTATTTAACTAGATCAGATAAGCAAATTAGTTTAGAAAAACTAATAAATATAAGACAAAATTGATTAAATTCTTATACTTGTGATAATTTAAATTTGGCTAGTACTTATATTAAGAGTCAAAAGGAAAGGGAGTATATGATCGATGAAATTCTATAATAAATTTATACCTTCATAAAAATTATTTAAAAAATAATATTATTTTTGCAAACAAAAAACCTAATATACCAGATAAATGTGAGGATGGTTTTTGTTAACTTTTGAGCACTCTAAATCTCTATTATAGCGAAATCTCTATTATAACGAAGAAATATGCTCTTTCGGTTTTAAATGTAAAATTTATTTTACAGTATAAGTTATACTACAAAATCGATTTTGCTTTTAGAACAAAAGGAGTAACTGATATCTCTTGAACCATACTTTAATATAAATAAATAAGTAATTACATAAATAATTGAATGATTTTTAACTCATACATTTTTATTTGATTTCAGATTCTTATTTTTTTAAAATTGCAGCTACTAAATTTAAAATATTTGCTTTGTGTGGAAAAGGGGAAAAGTCTTCATTAACTCCATAATTATAAAAAAAAAAAAAAAACCTTAAGTCGCTGCAACTCTTTCGTTTACGTGTAACTTATCTGCAACTGAAAGAAGTGTTGCACCAACTAAAAATAAGTTACACCCACTAAAATGTACTACCTCTTATCCTAATTATAAGAATTAGTTGATTAATTTAAAAAGATCAAGAAAAGAAGTTAAGTTAGGTATTTATAATAAATATGTGTTGTTTTTCCTAAAATATTTTTGCTAATTAAATATATTGGCTATAACTACCATTGTTAGAAGGACTATCTTGAAAAAAATACATAAATATGAGAGACAAAATGGATTGAGATCTTATATTTAGCATCAAAATAAAAGTTAAATAAGGTCTTATATTAAGGACCGGAGATAATATAAATTTTTAGGTGTCTTTGAGTAATAAATTTTGAAATGAGTGATTTCTTTTCCTTTTTCTACTTCTTCTTCCAAGTGCAGGATAACCCCAAGGAGTTGCGGGTTTTTTTCTACCAATTGGGGCCCTTCCTTCACCACCCCCATGGGGATGGTCTACAGGGTTCATAACTACTCCTCTTACTACAGGACACTATTAATTTACTTCTGCTGGCTGATGCTATTATACCAATAAAACTTTCAGACATTTTATTGAAAATAGGGTTGAGTCACCAATGTAAATTGGTCTAGCAAAATGGACTACTTAGGCTGTGTTTGGGTGACACTCCAAACCATAGTTTGGGGAATAAATCACCAAAACACCCACCCAAAAACCAAAACCATGGTTTTGAAAAAAGCAAAAAATTTTGCTTTTGGAAAAAAAAAAAGAGTGTGAGAGCCTATAGGATATGTATATTGTTACTTTTTTTATAAACATATTTTTTTATAAACATATTTAATCTTATATTTTATAAATATATATACATATTAATTATTTATTAATTATATTATCTTATGTATTATTAATTATGTTAATAAAAAATATATTATTAACAATTTTATTCCTTCAAATTAAAATATATCATAAAATCTATTTTTTCTATAATTATCATATTAACTTATATCTTTTTTTTAGTAATTTGTATATATATAAAAAAAGTGCTTCTGATAACAACTATCTAAACACTCTCACTTCTCAAAATCATTTTTTCATAAAATCTATTCTTTCCAGAATCTATTCTCCAGAATCACTTTTCCAAACCACGGTTTGGTTTCATCCAAACATACCCTAATATAATATGATGAACCAAACATCAAATTCCTATTTAAATAAATAAAATAAATGTCTATAATTTAGTGCCCAACCATAGGTTAAAAAAGAAGAGGCGTGTACGTTATTATTCATCTAGTCAGGGCCAGTGGGCCCTCCGTTGATAAACACAGTTGGCACACAGCCGCAGAGCGTCTTGCTATCCAAATTATTCCCACTGGTCTCCCATACACGCTGACTTCATTTGTGCGTGTAAGTGATGCATGTATTTTTATTACTCCTCTTATCTTAATATAAAATTTATTTAATTAATTTAGTTAGATTAAAAAATTTAGATAAGTTAGTTAATCATAAAAAAATATAACATGTTTTTCCTAAAACCCATAATCATCTTTCTTAATATCTTCCCTCTTTTATTTATTTGATTATGCTTAAAGAAGTATCTATAAGGGTGATTTAGAAAAAATGATAAATATAAGAAATGTATCTTATATTTAGGATCAAAATTAACTTAATAATTAGATTATATTAAAAAGCGGAAAAGTATTTTTTTAATAATAAACAATGCAAAATCAAATTACTCATTAAAAAAGCGTCAACAAGAAACGCACAAAGGTAAGTTAGCTGTGAAGCCCAATAACAATCAGGTCAAAAAAGAAGCCCAATAACAAATCAGGTCAAAAAAAGAAGCCCAATAACAAA